GTACATCTACACAATGGAGTACTATGTAGCTGTTAGAAAAGATGGTCATGAAATTTACATACAAGTGGTACAACATGGAAAGTATCATGCTAAGCGAAATGAGTCAGAGAGGGATAGACATAGAAAGATTGCATTCATCTGGGGGATATAAAGTAACAAAATATGAGATTAATACCCAAGAATAGCTGAGATCAGCACCAGGAGGATTACTCCATAGCTTAAGAGGCCAGCCGGGCATTCTAGGGGAAAGGGCAGCTCAGATAGAGAAGGGAGCACCAAATAAAGGATGTTTGGAGGATCCTCCCAGGAGGGGAGATGCATGTTGAAAGTAGACTATGGACTGAACATGTTTGCCACCCAATGCCTCTTTTGCAGACCACAACACCCAAAAGGAGAGAGAGAACAAAAGGGAATGCCCTGCCACAGAGGCAGGGTGAGATGGGGGGATGGGGGTGGGAGGGATATTATCCATGGTGGTGGAAAATGGGCACTGGTGGAGGGATGGGTATTTGATCATTGTATAATCGAAACCCAAGCACAAAAATTGTAAATCTACAACTGTACCTCATGGTGTTTCACTAATAAAATTTTTTTTTAAAAAAATCATGTTTTGGTCAGGTAATAGAAGACAAAAGCAAAAGACATGCTTAAGGTAAAGGACTTTAGAGGGAGTTTCCACAAGAAAGGCAAGGTAGGGTAAAACAAACAATTTAGGATTAACTAGCTTGAGTAATTCTGAAGGTGAGTAACTCTGGTGACCTTTGTCTAGGTGCTGAAGCCCTTGCATGATTAAGGAAGAAGAATATTGTTCCCTAGAGTATATAGACTAACCAAACAGATCTGACCAAATGCATGCTCCTGAGTACTTTGCAAAAATAGCTGACTAGCCCCAAGAGAACTCTTTCCCCAGTCCTCCCGTCTTCTCCCTTGAACATGTACCTAACTTGCTTGGCTAATTTTGTTTTGGGGTCACACCCAGCAGTGCTGCATGGGGACTAGTCTGGCTATTCTCATGGCTGAAGGAACATGCAGAAGCAGAGATTAAGCCCAGGTCTCCTGAGTGCAAAGCATGCGCTCAGTCTGCTGCCATCTCTCAATCCCAGAAAGGTTAGATTCAAAACACAATAAAAGTACAATAATATAGACAATATGCTATATTCTATATTCTACTCTTCTGGCCTTGTTTCTTGGTGTTTTGGTTGATTTGTTTAAGCTAAAAATATAGCTACTAATAACTAATACATAGAATGCAAACCCATTGTCAATATGGAGGATAAAATAAAGTCAAACTATAATTCATCTTCTTACAATAAAAGTAGCACTGTACCACTGTCCTCCCTTTGTTCATTGATTTGCTCAAGCAGGCCCAGTAACATCTCCATTATGATACTTGTTGTTACTGTGTTTGGCATACTGAATATGTCACGAGTAGCTTGCCAGGCTTTGCCGTGCAGGCAAGATACTCTCGGTAGCTTGCTGGGTTCTCTGAGAGGAGTGGAGGAATCAAACCCAGGTTGGCCAGGTCTGCCAAGTGCAAGGCAAATGCCCTACCGCTGTGATAGCACAGCAAATACATTTTAATTCTAGGCTATTATTTGAAACTATTTTTACATCTCAGGGCCAAATTTTCATAACTTTTTCTTTTTAATATTTAGGGTTATAGCTCAATGGGCTAAGCACATGCTTGGCATGCAGGTGGCCCAGGCACATGGTCCCCCAGCATCTCTTGGAGGAACTCCTGAGCGCAAGGAAAGGAGTGGCATCTAGCACTGCTCAAAACAAAACAAATAAAATTACCTGCACAAGCTTTCAAAAGTAGGTAAAACTCTCCTGGAACAGCTGGATGTGGGTGAAAGGGTGATTGTGTGGGAAAGTGTTAACTCCTATCCAGAGGCAAACAGGTCCAAATTCTAAACATCATCATTACACAGGAAAGCAGTCTACAAAAAGCAAAATCTGTAGTCTAAAATGTCAACAGCATCTTTGTTTAAAACCAAATATCCAGGGCCAGAGAGATACTACAGAGGGTAGGGTATTCACCTTACCCTCAGCCAACCCAGGTTCAATCCCGGGCACCCCATATGGCACCCTGAGCCCTGCCAGGGGTGATCCCTAAGCACAGGACTAAGAATAAGCCCTGAACATCACTAAATGTGGCCCAACACAAAAACAAGTGAATAAATCACATACCTATAGCATGAATAACTACATTCTTTCCTACCCTAACAGCAACCACAAAAATTTTAGTAACCATAATCAAACATTCAAGGTACGTGTATACTAATGAATTTTTAAACAAAATAAGAAATCCCTCTGAGCACTACCAGATGGGATGCCCCCTACCAAACCCCCCACCAAAAACAACAAAAACAATATTTAATTAAATAGAAATCTTAAGCATGCTTTCTATATAATTCAGGTACAAAAACATATATGCATATAATAACTTTTTCTAGTTGGTGAAATCTCTTAGGATCTTACAGCAAAATACTCATGAAATGTCTACTGATAAGGTACTTAATTAGCTACATAAATACATATTGTACATAATGAATACAAAAGCACAGATACATTCTAATGTAATACATCTAAACAAAAGTATACAAACAATATAGTTTAGATAAGACAGATGATAGATGGCAAAACAGATTGATATTCCTATTCATGTTTACTTTCAGACTGCAAAAGAAAGAGTACTGCATGGATTTTTCAACATAATGTATACCCAGTTTCAATATATATACATACATTTTCTCATATTTCCCTAACTAAAATATTCTACTCTAGTCATACTGGGCACAAACATGCAGACACATATACACATACAGAAATAGATTTATTTTTAAATATACTGCAAAGACCCTATTTTGAAAAAAGTTGGCTGTAGTATATGCAAAAAAGAGGTTCAGCAAGAGATACAGTACACATGCATGATATAGCATATAGTAAAAGATTAATATGAATTAAAATACACAAAGAAGCCATAATTTTAAATTTTTGTTTTTAGTTCATTCTCGGAGGAACTCAGGAACTTACTCCTAGTTCTGTGTTCAGGAATTACTTGTCAGTGCTCAGGGAACCATATATGATACCAGGGATTGAACACAGATGGGCAAAGTATCAAACCCAGCAAGGCAAGTGTCTTACCAACTGTACTGTATCTCCAACCCCTGTCTTTTCAAAATGTAAAGCACAATATTGTTCCTTTTATATTATTAACAATGTTTAATCCTCACAATAAACTGACACAAACTGGCAGGCTACCGAATGTAACCTGCCCACATGGCAGAGTCTGGCAAACTCCCTGTGGTGTACCCAATATGCCAAATACCAGTAACAATGATGGGTCTCATTCTCCTAACCCTCAAAGAGCCTTGAATATGGCACTTTTTAAAAAAAATCTCAAGGGCTAGGACAAAGGAGACGTTACTGGGGCCTGCTCGAGGCAATCGACGAACAACAGGATGATCATGATCGTGAATAAACTGAGAAATGGAAACGATTCCATTTTAAAGTTAAGAAATTTAAGGTCCCAAATGGTTAATGACTTATATATCCCATAATGGCTGGAGAATTTTCAGAGTTTTCCATTATAGTACTAGTGTCTAATCATGTCTCACACCTGAAAATATGCAATATATATTATATATATTTAATGGATAGTGAAAAGATTAATGGTGCTCAATGTTAGACAAGTAATCTGGTTTTTCTAACTCAAAAATCAGAAACAACTTAAGAATATCAAAATTATCTATTCAAGAATCTTTTGAAAGGAAAACATTCATCCTTTCAAATATTTGAGAACCTACTAAATACAGAGTCTGCCAGTAACATCATAATACAGCTATGCACAAAGTATGTTATTATCTTTTATAGGCTTGCTTTATTCAAAGATTTAATGTATATTAACTACACAAAACATTAATAAAATGAAGGGGTAACTATAAATTAGGCTGTTTTATAAGAGGAAAGAAAGAAGTTGAGAAGATATAAACATACAAATGGATTTGCTTCTAACAACGAGGTTAGATGTAAAGAAAAGTGTAGAATCAGCCTGTTATTTTTATTTCTCAAGTTTCCAATTTGGGAAATAGTACCTACTGACCTGACCCTTCAAATTACCTCCACACTGATCCCCAAATAACCAAGGAAAATACTCCTTGTTTCTCTTCAATGAATGAAGTCACATTTCCTTCTATTCTAGACATACAAAAGATGTACTTCAGTTCTGACTACATTATTGTGTGAGATGCAGCAGGTAACCTTCTCTCACCAAGTTTCAACTGCCTCGTATATAGAGTTAGGAGATTTAAATTAGACCAATGTATCCTAAACTTACCTGAGTATAAGAACAAAATAAAGCATCCCATGTTAAGAGTAGATTTCCAAGCTCTGCTATGAGGTACTTGGGAAGAAGGGTTGGATGGGGTGTTAACAAATTAAAATTTTCTTTAACCCACTTCACTCTTTATTACCTTGAGTTTAAGCTACACATAGCCTTGTAAGTAATCATTTACCACGTTTTGAAATCTGAAGATGTTAAATTTTATTCTTAGAAAATACACACATAAAACATCCTGACATTTATTTCCATCTTCTTTTTTTTCTTCAGTGTGGCAGCTCTTTATTTACTGGTTGAAAGAGTTCAACAGCAACCTCCATCTTTATCTTATCTTCTAGATGGTTAATTTAGACATTCAAAGGTAGAGAGATTGCCCAAAGAACAAGTGCCAGAGGTTCAACTCTCCCCAAACCCCACAGTACTTCAAGTAGTGCTACTAGGGTGTGACCCCAAAATAAAAACAAAATCTAAATGTTCCTATGTATATGGGTGTTCTTTGCAAATGTAAATTCAAATAGATAAGAATTTCCTAATGTCCATATCCTTTAAATTACCACAATTCAACAAACAAACTTTTTTTCATTAAAGTAGCTTTCATTTTAAAATAATGCTCTCAACATAATAATCAAAAATAATGTAGCAATCAAAATAGTCTTACCTAATCGTAATTCTCCAAAATTGCCACATCCAATTTTTTTTCCAACTCTAAAATTAGGTCCTACCATTAAAACTCCAGAGGATGAAGACCCAGTTCCACGAGTACTATGTCCAGACCGACCACTAGGCCGGGCCATTCTTTCATCTGATTTGTCCTTGTCTTTCTTTTTATTATCCATATCAAGTTTGCGGTACTCCACTTTGAATTCTTTGATCAAGACAAGCACAATGAAATAGGATATTGTGAGAATAGGTACATCACTAGGTAACTGTACCAGGTGGGTAATGTTAACATTCAAATTGCAGAAGGTAGTCAATTAACTGGCGCTTGTTCATCCCATTCGTAAAGTTTTCCTCAGTTGTCTTTTCAGCAGAACATGTCTTCAATACAATCCTCCAATGATGTAGGCTGATACTGATAGAGAGCTAGAATATTAAGAAAAGAAAATGAGTTATCTGTTTGGGAAATGAAGATAACAAAATTTAGGCAATGAATTACTGCTAGTTATAGCTACCCACTGAAAGCAAATCACAGAATACTGTATTCGTTAATGGTATTTATATAACTATTACCCATATTCATATAATAAAGGTCACAAAAATGAAAGCAAAGCAAAAACAATAAGAATCTGACTTTATTTTTAAAAAGTAATAAAAATACACTGAGTTTTTTAAGCCAATATATTTACTAATGTAAATCTTTCCATGTAAAAATATTTTAATTTTTAAAAAGAAAAACAGGGCCAAGAGAAAGTATAGCACGTAGGGAGCTTGTACTGCAATGTTGACCCAGGTTTGATCCTAGCAACACGTGGTTTTCAAGTCCCACCAGGATTAAATCCTTGAGCCCAGAGCCAGGAGTAAGGCCTGAGCATCACTGGTTGTGGCCTCCCACAAAAAAAAAAAAAAAAAAAAAAAAAAAAAAAATCTAAAATTAAATTAAATTTTAAAACTCCATTACAGACTAGAAATGTAACTCAGTAATAAAGATACTGCCTCCACACACACACATACACACACACACACACACAAAAGATGTTACTAAAAACATCTTCCACAAATTTATATCCTTAATAATCTTTAGTCTTTTAAAATCTACATTGCCACCTGATCTTCATCTCTTCTCCACTAACTACTATATGGAATATAAGGCTCAGAACTAATAATACAAAGAACATTCTTGCTACAGTTCCTTAATTCTTACAGAACTGGGCTCTGAAATTCAAATATGATTCCACAAGGATAAAAAATGTTGGCATTCATCAGCCTCATGAAGTAGGAAATGTAACCTTTAAGTTTTGCAATATACTGATAAATCTTTTTTTTTTTCTTTTTGGGTCACACCCGGCGATGCACAGAGGTTACTCCTGGCTCTGAACTCAGGAATTACCCCTGGCGCTGCTCAGGGACCATATGGGATGCTGGGAATTGAACCCAGGTTGGCCACATGCAAGGCAAACGCCCTACCCACTATGCTATTGCTCCAGCCCCCTCTACTGGTAAATATCTTAAGCTCAAAAAATTTTTTAATTTAAAATTTAAAAATGTTTCTGGAGGACTCTACCCTTTCAGCTTGTCTAGAATTTCACCCATCAAATACATCTCAAATCTGTAAAAAATCCTCAAGTTTAAATAATGCTTTGATCTAAACAGTGATGTCCTACTGGTTTTAATATAAAAGATCTATTCCTATTTCTGAAATTGTTAACAAGCAATCATAACAGCACTTTCTGATTAAATTTCAGCAAACCCCACAGCAATTAATTCTATCACAGAAAGTATTTTTTTAAAGTTTCCTATTGTCATAGTCTTAATTTTCAGATGAAACATCAAGCATGTGTTCGGTACATGTAGAACTAAGTAAGACTTGTTTTCAGCATACAATACCAGTTAACTGATACTGAACTTCCCCTTCTGCTATAAATATAAAACTGAACAAAACATATGAAGCACCTGTTTTCAGGCATTAGACAAAAGGCAGTGCAGACTGTGATCTTTGAGAAAAGGGAAGGCAAGTTCCACCTTCACCCAAGCTCTGTAGCTAGGTCAATTTTCTAAATATAGTTCAAGCACTGCACAGTGATTACAGATCAGAGTTGGGACTGCTGAAATGAGTAGAATGTGGGAGACTATACTAAAGATGACACAATAGTAGCTTTGGGTGGAAGGGAAGGATAGGTTGCATGTTTGGGGAGGAATGTTCTGAAATATCCAGGAGATAATGGATACTATAGGATTAAATAAAGTTACTAACTGATGATACTAGATTCTGGGTACTGCTGAGGGTGATGGTGAAGAAACTCTATTAATCACAAAACTCAGATCTATTCTGTATTCCCAGAAAACTCAGGTGACATAAAGATCTGGAACAAAGAGTACAGACCTACCTCAGAGTAAAGACTAGTCCAAACCGGCCTAACTACAGTCTGAATATCTCCAATTAAATTCATTACTGTTCAAAATGAACCTCACCATACTTATAAAGACCAAAACCCAGGCTAACAATGTTAAATAATGTTCAATGAAGTGTTAAAATTTACCAGACAATGCAAATTAGTAGAAAATATGACCCGGAGCTGGGTTTTCAAAAAACCAGACTCCAAGATGAATCTGAGGAATTAGAAAATGAGACTTTGAACTAGTAAGTGGCTACTAACATATTAGACTTTAAAAAAAAAAAGTACAAAAATTTTTAATAAATGAAAATTTTCTAACTTTGGTGAAAAACACCAACCTGCAAATAGATAAAAATATAAAAATTCAACAATTCCATTGAATACAATAAAAATAAATCTCATTCTATCATAGTCTAAGTGCTAGAAACTGAAATCAAGAGCACTTTCAACTTTTTATAAGAAATAATGCAGACACTCTGCAATTACCACCATACTCCCGACCGGACCCCACTGCTCAGACAAGCCTCACTCAGAAATTAATTTGTTCAAACACTCAGGTATGCATGTTTTGTGACTGAAATCTCCAGCTTTCCAGGGGTCAGGAATAGGCTACCTTCCTCCATCTCCCTGTATTTTGGAAGCTTGGCAGTAACTCATACACCCGAAAGTTGCCAGTCAGTTAAGAATTTAACTTCAGCTGTATCACCCCCTTAGAAATTCTGACACCCTGGAGTGCATGGCAGGGATTTTGGCCACACAACATCTCAAAACCTGTAACACTAATAAACCAGAAGTAGCACATCAGATTGGATGGGATGTAATGTAGAAGGCAACCAATATCGTCGATTGCCTCGAGCAGGCCCCAGTAACGTCTCCTTCATCCTAGCCCTGAGATTTTTTAAAAAAGGCTCTTTCAGGGTTAGGAGAATGAGACCCATCATTGTTACTGGTATTTGGCATACTGGGTACGCCACGGGGAGTTTGCCAGACTCTGCCGTGTGGGCAGGTTACATTCGGTAGCTTGCCAGTTTGTCCAAAGTAGAAATGAGGTAACAAGATGTCGCGCGGCCAATCTCAACCAATCTCAATTAACAGAATATAAACAGAGAAGGCTTAATCTGTAACAACATTTTAGTAATCTCTTATACAAGAGGTTAAGGGCTCCATGGTGAGACACAACAATCTTCACTACTTCCAAGGAAACATTTTTTGATCATCCTTTTAGCAAATTAGTTATAACAAGCAATGTAAAATAAATTATTGAAGGTCTGCTATGGGGGCAAGTTCAATAGCGGTTGGGAAAATTGGAAATAATGGTGGTGGGAAGGTGCGTGGTGATGAAATACTGAAAAACTAAACTGACTTAATAAAGTTATTTTTTAAAAAAAAGAAATAATTCAGGTTATTTTCCCAAAAGTGGGAGGACATTTTCAAAGCAATGAAAAAAAATGAGGGAAGGGGCGGGAAATCTTGCAATTAAATTTCTATATCCTGTAGTGTTTTCTTGAATGATTCTTTAAAACCTCAATAAATCATTACATCAGATAGAAGCATAAAACTTCAAAAATAAATGAAGTGTTGAAAATCAGAAATACACAAGTAATTTGCTATTTCAAGAACAGATTATCTCTTAGTGTCATAGCATGTGAAAGTAAAATATATGACAAAATAGTAGGGGAAGGTGACAGTAAAGGAAATATTAAGAATCTTAAATTTGTTAAGAATCATGTGGTTCAATATTAACTCTAACCAATGAGAAGAATGCATTTTGTAGCACCTAGACCAAACAACAAAAACTGAGATAGAATAGAAAAGCTATAAAGAAATAAATTGAAATGATAAACATTTGATCAAAATGAGGGGGGGGGAGACATAAAGCAAAAAAAAAAAAAGACACTAAGCACTTAAATGAAAATAGACATATTCTCCCTGTAGAAGACAAATATTTTCAGATTACATAAAAAATGTAAAACCTAACTATTTTCTAGGAAACAACTTTACAAAGACACAAATCAAGTGCAATTAAATACTATGCAAGCAGTAAAAACATAATTTAAAATGTTGAGTCTATAAAATAAAATAGCAAGAGCATTTCCAAAATCTAGTCATTTCAAAATGACAATTTTGACATTTCAAAATGACAATTTCCATAATTAATAATATACAAGACAAAAATACTACTATGTAAGCTAATATAATGTGTCTAATACTACTATTTACCCTCACAAGAAGACCAACTAGATCTACCCACAGACAAAACAAGAAAAAAATTTCCAAAACCAGAGCTGCTGATAATGCAGGACCCTGGACCACAGAGACCAAGATGAACCAAATAAAAAGGCCAAGAGGACTGGTTACTCTTTAAGCACTTCATCCCTCCCCTTAGCTGACAAAGCACCACACCTAGAAGACTGCTCTCAATATACTATTTTCCCAGTGGATAAGAATGCCTCAGGTGGGGGGCTGGAGCAAATAGCAAGCGGGTAGGGTGTTTGCCTTGCACGTGGCCGATTCGGGTTTAATTCCCACCATCCCATATGGTCCCCCAAGCACCGCCAGGAGTGATTCCTGAATGCAGAGTCAGGAGTAACCCCTGAGCATCGGCTGGGTGTGACCCAAAACACAATTAACAAAAAAAGAATGCCTCAAGTGGACATCCAACTCTGTGGTACTAAAGGGTATTTCCTGGGAGGTTCACTCACATCTCATCTCACAGGGAACAGTGGGAAGATTCAGAAGATTATAAATCTCAACAAGTAACAAGAAATTTAATCCGCAATCATGAAAATTCCGGATTTCTGGTGAAGAAACACCAGAATTCTCTTATAAGTTACTGGTGTGAGTGCATAATAGTATGATTTGGAAAAAAGAGCCTGAGAGTTTTATTATAAAGTAAAATATTCAACTATTCTATGACCTATCAATACCACTCTTAGGTAGCACTGTCCTCCCATTGTTCATTGATTTGCTCAAGCAGGCCCAGTAACGTCTCCATCATGAGACTTGTTGTTAACTGCGTTTGGCACATCA